GTTGAATTTAAGTTAACAAATTTAGTTCCGTAATACTCTTTTAAAAGAAAAAGGGGATTGTCTTTTATGACTTGGGGGCCCAAATTTTAAAGTTCGCCTCAGGCCCCGCGAAACACAGGTACGGCCTTGACGATTATATCTCTACTATAATTTAATTATTTCAATAATACCTTACTTTTCGTTTGTCAATACGTATTTAATTTACGAACTATAATAAATACAACAAAATCCTTGTTCATGCATGTATTCCCTATTATTAATTCTCAATTAATTAATATTCACATTCATTTAATTATTGCTAATTAGAATTTCTTATTCGAGAATGAAAAACTCATTATTCACGTTCATAAATGCTAATTAGCATATAGCTTCACTTAGCTGGAAATTAAATTGTATTCATTTATTATAAATGATTAAACATTCATTGTCACGTATATGTTATTTTGTATTAATTCTAAATTAATTAACATTCACTTTAATTTATGTCTCGTATTTGTCATTCATCTTTAGTTGTAATTCTAACACCAACATTCAAGTATACATTTCAATATTTACGTGTATATATAATAAATAATATTTATTTTCAGGGGCTTGCATTTCTCTCATATCTCACATTTTTATTTTACTTTAAAAGAGTGAAAGTGAAGATTACTGTTCATTTTTTAGTACATCATGTTCACACTTGTTGGGTTAGTTTGCACTATTCATAGGCACAATACATTTGCTCTCTACAGTCACTGTACACGAGACCCAATAATATCTCTAGCTACACTCTTTGTATTCTCTCTTCCATTCTTTTGTATCCGTCTTTAAGCAAAAGAAAGAAACCTTAGAAATCGCATTTTCATATTCTTCATTCTCTTTCACATAATTTTTTGCAAATTCACTTGTGTGTTCTTGTTCCCTAATATGTACTGTGTTTGTTCTTGTTCATTTCGTGCATGTTTTGTGTTGCAAAATCTACGGGGTCACTCAAAAGGTAAGATCTATTGTTGTTCGAACATAAATCTTGAGATCTAATTTGTTTTGATAATTTCCATTTCCCTAATATGTGAGTTGATTTTTTATTTTTATTTTTGTTGATTTTTGCCATTTTCTACTGCGAAGTCTACCGGCTCAGTGAGAATGTAAGATTTATGTTTTTCAAACGCAAATCTTATTCCATGTTCTGTATTCCGCTTGTTCTTGTTCATTTTCTGCCGATTTTGTGTTGTGAAATTTATCGTGTCGCTGAGAAAGAAAGATTTACTATTGTTCAAACATAAACCCTAGAGATCTAACTTGTTCTGATAATTTTCAGTTCATTAATCTGTGTGTAGATGGTTTTTGTTCATTTTTTCTGTTCTGTGCTGCAAAGTCTACTCGCTTGGTGAGGAGGTAACATTTACTGTTCTTCAAACAAAAATTGTAAAAATCTAACGTTGTGTGATATGTTTTGTTCGAACATAAACCCTAGCAGTATATTTTTTTTATTTTTTTTAACATAAAGGATTTGAAATTTTTAGAGTTGTCTGTTGGTTTTTTTATGGGTATAAGTTTGTGTGTTTACTTTGATTTTGTGATTTTTTTTTTATTTTAAATTTTAACTTCTGAGATATGTATGGAATTCTTTTTTTTTCTTGAATTTTGGCCGAGGTGTTTAATATTTTGTTTTGGGAAATTTGACCATTTAGCCTAGTTGGACAATTTATTTGGTGAAATTGCCTTTGACCAATAATAAAAACAAAAAAAAAAAAATAAAGCAAAATATTTTAGTTGGCACAATGACAAAATTCTCCTTCAATTATCAATTCAAAAACCCTCAATTTTCCTCATTTCACCCCGTCATTTCTCCTTCATCTTCTTCCCCATTTTATCTTCTTCAATTTTAGGTCTCAAAAACGCTCAATTTTCATGATTTCATTCCGTCATTTCTCCTCCATCTTCTTCCATTTTTTATCTTCTTCAATTTTAGGTCCTCAAAATCACAATTGCCCATTTTATTTTCTTCGATCATCGTTCTTGCTATCCAAAAATCATGTTCTTTATTATA